AGTTTAAACAAACTTACGGGCCACCTGAATGTAGAGAACATATGCATGATATATTCATAAATTAAACGGATTCTTTCATTTTTCTGGACTGTATAATGTCGTGCATTGAATTATTAAAAACGTAACGTGAGACGTTAATTATCTTTGACCCATCAAAATGAACGTGGTCATTTATTTTCAGAATCAAAATTTAACATCACACATTTACATTAATTTGGCAAAATATGAAAATAACAACATAATTAATCAGCTTTACAATCAGGAAAACCATACGGCCATGATTTTCCGTTGCTTCACAACAGACATTTCTAAAAATATCTGGATTAATTTGCTAGCAGATAGAAGAGTTTAAAGATGGAAAATGAAGTTTATCTTGAGAGAGATGGGTGAGGGAATTTGTCTGTTTTAACCAGAACAGCACGCTCCTTTGGACCAGCTTAACCCAACGGTACACTTTGGTTGAGATCTACTCTTTACCTTTGCAGATGATAGTTTCAGCGTTGGTGTAGAGCTTTCCTTTCAACTCTTCCAGCGTCTCCGTAAGAACAGCTAAACCTCAGGAGTCGTGAGATCATCCAGAACAGACATTTCATAATTCACCTGATCTTCTCCCGTTCAGCTTATTTTTCTTCCTCCAGCATCCTGAATTCCAGCCTTCTGAACTCTGGAACTGCTTCGGAACCAACTCACAGCATTTTCTCAGCGTTCTCCTCAGCGTTCTTCCCAGAACTGCCGAGAACTTCTCAGAACTACTGAGCTCTCCAGAACTTCGACTGGAGCTGGAACTGCTGTGAACTAGGAAGTGTTGCACCTTTTAAAAAGGGTCACTTCCGGTTCATTTGAGGACTTTCTGATTGGTCGATGGACCAACAGAGGTGTGTTTTGTGATGTAAGAGGTTATTAAGAAGTCAAGGAAAAAGATTAGATTGTTTAAGAACAGACAGAAGATATTATGAAGAACTCAGACTTCGTGGAGTCAATTCTCTAGTATCTTGCTGTAAAAGTTAAACATGACATTTCTTTTTCAGTAAACTTGCAGTTGACCGAAACTTGAACTTTGACCAACTTACACACTTGCTCATTGAAGACAGAAAATCAGACAATGCATCATTAACCTGATTTCTACTTTGAATGAGGATTAAAGTCATTATTACTGTTTCACAGTTGATTTAAATGAGTAGTTCACTTCAACATTTAAAAATGGTTTGAACTAACATAATTTGATTATCAAACATTTGTAAAATAGTAATGATAATAGAAAGTAGTGTTCTTTCACTTGATTAATTCAAGAAAGAAAGTCTCAGGATGGGTCAACCTGTATTTCTGGATTCAAATCAATGAAATGACAGTTTCTGTCCCATAAGGTCCTTAAGGTCAGGATTTGACCTCAGGCCTAGTTCACTACAATGTCGACAAAGTGGCATCATTCCCAAGAGCCTGGAACTAAAATCGTCGGTCAGCGGGCACCGGGCAAGCAAGATCCTTCAGAAGGCACAGACCCAGCTGCTGAATGAACGGGTGAGACAGACCAATTTTACTATTGAGGCCTTGAAGGCCAAAGAAGAGCACATTAAACAGAAACTAACTATGTGTCTAGATCAGACCACACTTCAGCAAGTGTTGGACTGTATAGATCAGGCACGCTTAGCACAGCATGTAAAGTCCAAGACTCGAAAACAAAACAAGTTTAACTTACTAATAACTCATCAACACCATCACTATTCCAATAACAACACATTCAGTGTAGGACAACACTCCAGTAGTCAATTACAAGCCAGGGAGACAGAAAAGTGGGTGAAGAATGTATATGACAGACAGCTCACCCAGCCGGAGACAGAGATTCTTGCCAGGGGACTGAACTTTGCAGTTGCACCAAGTAGAATTCCTCTAGTGGAGATGATCACAGCCACAGAATCAGCCATCCGCAACAACAAAATGAAAGAGGGTGAAGCAGAACAGCTCAGAATCAAAGTTTCATCCTGCCTCAGCAATGCCAAACCAACACCTTCCAACATCAGTAGAGAGGAGAGGGATGCACTCACCACTCTTAGCAAGGACAAAAACATCATCATTCTCCCAGCAGACAAAGGAAGGTGCACAGTGATTTTGAACCAGAAAGACTATCATGAGAAAGTTGACACTCCTTAGTGACTTAACCACTTATGAACCTCTAAAAAGAGATCCAGGAAGTGGTTACAAGAAGAAATTGATAGATTGCCTGAAAATTTTGGAGCAGGACAAGGCTATTGACCGTATTCTGTACCACAGACTGTACTCAGGGGAGGCCACACCTAGTCTGTATGGTTTACCTAAAATCCACAAACAAGGTGTACCTTTAAGACCAATTGTTAGCATGATTAACTCGGGTCACTTACAATGTTTCCAAATATCTGGCGTCTGTACTCATCCCTTTAGTTGGCAGCTCAGAACACCACATACAGAACACCATGGACTTTGTGGATAAGGTTGAGGGATGTCATCATGGAGATTGGTGAAACAATGGTCTCTTTCGATGTCACATCACTCTTTACGTGCATTCCTGTTGATGATGCAGTAGAGGTGGTCAGTTTATGATTAAAATCAGACACCACTCTGAGCAGCAGGACCACGTTTTCCACAGAACTGTGTCAACTCTTGAAACTGTTCCTGCAGTCAACCTACTTCACATATGGGGAGCAATATTATAGGCAGAAGCATGGGTGTGCTATGGGGTCTCCAGTTTCTCCTATTGTTGCCAACCTGTACATGGAGGAGGTAGAAAAGAGAGCCTTGACGTCCTTTTCAGGGACACCACCAAGTCATTGGTTCAGGTATGTTGACGACACCTGAGTTAAAATTAAATCTCAGGAAGTCCAACATTTTACTGACCACATCAACTCTGTGGATAAATACATCAAGTTCACACGAGAAGATGTAAAAAAAATGGCAGGTTGGCTTTCTTGGACTGTGAGGTCTCAGTCTCTGATAGAGGACATTTGCAAACTGAGGTGTACCGCAAACCCACCCACACAGACCAGTATTTGCATTTTGACTCCCATCATCCTTTGGAGCACAAGTTAGGAGTCATCAGGACTCTGCACCACAGAGCAGACAGCATCCCCACTAACTCAGGAGCCAGGCAGAAGGAGAAATCCTACACAAGACAGGCTCTACAGCAATGTGGATATCCTAACTGGGCCTTCCTGAAAGCAGAGAAGAAACCCAAACAGGACTCCAGTCAGCCATCAGGTGAAAAGGAGGAACCCAGACCCAGACCAGTGGTCATTCCGTATGTTGAGGGAGTATCAGAGAAACTGAGACGTTTATTTTCTAAACACAACGTCCCAGTGGCTTTTAAACCCCAAAATACATTACGGCAAAGACTGGTTCATCCCAAAGATCCAGTCCCCCGGCACAAATAGAGTAATATTGTGTTTTCTGTTCAGTGTCAGGAGGGCTGTGATCAGTCTTACATCGGGGAAACTAAACAGCCCCTGGCCAAAAGGATGGCCCAGCACAGAAGATCAACATCATCAGGCCAGGATTCTGTGGTCTACACTCATCTCCAGGCCAGCGGTCACTCTTTCAGGGATGAAGATGTTCACATCTTGGACAGAGAGGAACGATGGTTTGAGAGAGGAGTAAAGGAGGCCATCTTTGTGAAAAGAAATCGTCCATCATTAAACAGGGGTGGAGGCTTCCATGTTCAACTGTCCCCCTCTTACAATGCTGTTATTGCTAGTATCACTCAACCCCCTGTGAATAGTAAACAGCCATCAGTGTGCTAATGATCCATTGTTAGGCTGATGGTCCTTCTTGACCATGTGAGCAGCTGGTTTTGGTTGTCAGCAGCAAACTGGTTGATCCACTCTAAGAAGGTGCTATTTAAGAGACTGAGCTGAATACAGCACCTCAGACTGAGGAAGTCTTTCGGATGAGAGACGAAATGTTTCTACATTTTTTTGCTGTTTTTTTTTTTAATGTCCAGAGGACCAGATAAAACTTTTTTGGATGACTTAGTCATGTTTTTTTTCTCCATATTTATAACCCAATTTTTGGCTGAGATCTGATGATTTCATTCATTCTGACATGGAAAATATTGAACACTACCATTTTCAGCTGCTAGAGGGCGATCGACCAATATGGCAAGCCAAGTGTCTCATTAATAGGTAAAAGTGGTTATTAATGAGACACTTTGCTTGCCATACAAACCACCTTCGTCTCGCTCCAGAACTCCTGGAGCAAACATCAAATCAGCTACATTTCACCGTACCGCCCAGGTGAAATGCAGCTGATTTTACCATCAAAGTGAAATTATTAAGCAAAAGTTCATCTGAGACACACCTTTACTATCAATTCGAGCAAACAATTATTTTAGGTGTTAATCTTGTTAAAATTTTGTTAAAGTCCTCCTGTGCACGCTCCCGCAGCTGCCATTTGGCAGCCAATCGATTTCTGGCACAACACCGGCCCACGTTTCCAGGTTGTCATCGGTGACGCGTAACAAACACGACACATCAGCGGTAGGGGTTGAACGAGTATATCATTTTTAAACTCCACATTAACATAATAAAACCCAAGTAGAACTCGAGTATTTGATGACGTCATAGATCTCAAGATACAAAAATAAATAAATAAATAAAACCGCAATGAAAGGTAATTATTTACAAAAAAAGACCAACAAAATATTGGGAGTGTATATTATGCTCCTACCATTTATCATACTGCAAATAAGTCACTGGAAAAACTAAACTATTAGTTATTATTATTAAACTGCAAACGTGAAGAAACATGCAGCACGTCAAAAAAGAAACTTAACAGGGGGTGTGTGTGTGGGGGGGGGGGGTTTTGACCACCCCGCACCACCTCCAGCTGTAGTGCGCATTAAGTTTAGTTTTAGAGATAAATATGTTTATAGATTTTTTTTATATGTTTAGAGATTAATATTTTTTGCTTTTTGTTTGTGAAACAAGAGGAAGCTGGTTCTGGTTCGGTGAATTGGACCTGGTGTTACACCATACTTTGTGACCTGCAACAGTGCAACACCGCCCCCTACGGTCATACGGTGGTCACATAATATGACATCACTACGGACACTCGACCTTACATTTTTAACCTAGATAGATGTTCTAGCAATCGATGTGTAGATTACTCGAGTACTCTGTTAATGCCCTAATCAGCGGTGACACATAATAGATGTGACTTTTACGGTGAAGCAACGTATTTATGTTTTTTTCCCACTGCATTAGACATATTTGAACTGATGCGACGTGTACGGTGGAAAGTACGGTAGTCTCTTGGGAGGTCAGACACCAGTTGCTCTTGCCGAGATTGGACGCTTTCCCATGCCCTCCCTCTCCGCTTTGCTTTGCTGCTCTGTCTGTCCGTGAAACTGCTTGTGAGCCTCTTGCATATCTTCCGAACCATAATTATGGACTTGTTTTGATCAGTTGGTCCCTCATCTTAATTCACAACATTTCTTCGAAGAGAAGACAGGCTTTAGGCGAGCCGATTTTCCCTGTTGACACACACGCAGCTGGATATCTCATTGACTTGAAGACTTGATGATGTGTATATATCTGCTACCATTTGTGGATTTTAAGGACACATATTTAATTGGATTTACGATAACTGGTTCCTGCTTTTTGGATTCGGCTGGTTGCTGGTTTTATCTACAATCAAGGAAGTCGTCTGAAGCAAATTTGGACCCGATCACGCTGCTTGCCTTTATGATGGCTTGGTTCGTGTCTCGAGTACCCACACTCATATACTTTTGGCAGAATGGATTAGATCTCGGGGATTTTACTCAATCACGTTCCATCGGTGTGGCCATGTAATTTGGACATTTCAGAACTGAGTGGGCCAACACAGACTCAAGGTAGATGTCATTAAGTTCTGCCTGTCCCCAAAACAACTGTGTGTTTATCTGAATTTGGCTCCCTTGGCTGGCCTTGAAGACTATCTTATCTGAATTTGCCTGGAGAACATGTGCTGTGACGCTCACCACCCCCCTCCCTGAGGAATTTCCAACTGATAACCAGATGAAACCAGCGGAATAAACTTTTGTGTCATCATTTCAGGACTCTTGGATTCTCATAATCGTTAATCTTGGCCATTCCTCGACATACCTCGAGAATGTTTACGGATCTCACTAATGGACACTGGCTGATTATCCCATTCTTTTCAGAACTCTTACAGGGCCCTCGAGAGCATGTATGAACATGCTCACCGCTCTCGTTGTCCCCCTCTGCAGAATGTCTACGTCACTATGTGCTTGTTTGTGCGAGGTGTTTTTTAATATCAGTTTTTTTTCTTCTCAGGCAGGAAAAAAAAAGTCTGATAGGAATTTTTTCGCCTCCAATTCCTACATGTGTCCAGTTTCACTACTTTTTGTCTGTCTAAACAGCTCTCACTTGTAAATGAGTCTTCTAGGCTCAATGTGACTTATCTGTCTAAATAAAAGTTGAATGAATGAATGAATAGACCAAATACCAGCACAGGAAAACAACTATATTAGGTTGTATTATAAAACAAGTTAGATGAATAAAGCCACATTTAAAACCAGTGTCTGTGTTTCATACTGTCCTCGGCATCTATATGTGTAACCACCACAAGTCTTCAATAAAAGATACCTTTTCCAGACAGAGGGTGTTACTGACGGCATACTCCACCACTTCTGCCATCTCCTTCTTAAAAAGTGCCACGTCTTTGCACTCGTTCGCCCGGGCATGGTGCAAAATCAACTCTGCGACCCTCTCACCCTGTAAGATGACAACCAGTGAAAGACAGAGGTATGACTTTTATTTTGTTTGGTCTTGAGATCCGTTTAGAAAGGATTTCCGGAATTCAAATATTATTAGTGTTTTGCTACACTTCTGTAAAAAAAACCATACAGAATCTCTTTGGCATTGCCCTCATTTAGGCTTCAAGGTTGAAATAAAAATGGTAAAAAAAAATAACCCCCTCTTCTTACCTGATGCAGAACCACAGCTGTGAAAACAGCCTTGAAGTTGGACAGATCGTGGTCGCTGAGCTGGGCCACGATTCCGGCATCCAGCAATACTAGCTGGACAGGACACGGGTCAGGTCTGACACTGACCACAACTGTGTCCCACAAGTCGGTAAGGGTGGTCTTCCCATGGTGGTCTACTGGGATACTGGTAGGATCAGGGAAACCAGTGAGAGGCTTCTGATATTGAACGAGAATGTTGCCAGGATGAAGATCCCCATGGACAAAGTTATCCACAAAAACCTGCAACACAAAAGGAGCAGAAAAATTACTTTCTGAAGAAGGTAGATACCATAATTTTCAAACTATAAGCCGCTACTGTGGCTGAGTGGTTAGAGCAGTCGTCCTCCAATACAAGAGTTGGGGGTTCGATTCCACCAGCAGTCACATATTGAAGTGTTCCTGGGCAAGACACTGAACCCACATAGCCTCTGATGTGTGTCCCATCAGTGTATGAATGTGATAAAGCTCTGATTAGTCTCTATACAGATCTAGTGGAGTGCTGTATGAATGGGTGAATGAGGCACAGATTTTTTTTATTTTTTCTGAACCACTTTGGTCTTGGTGTCCTCAGGCTGTTTCGGTGAGTAACAAGTTGGCCATCTGGCCTAAAACATTTGATTGTTGGACATGATGATTGATTGTTTTGGATAGGTGTGTTTTGCACGCCTGCTTCTGAGAGTCCAACAGGAGGTTGTCTTGAAACACAGCAGTGAAGGCTACCTATGGGACAGATCTGATTAAGTCCTCTGGATTAGGGACAAAATGTTTCTCACTTAAAGAAACTGGTCCAGATGACACGATTTAACCTGTTTTGTTGAGGGCACAGATTGTGTTGTAAAGAGATTAGAGTATCTTGATAAGATAGAAAGGTGCTGTGTAAGTGCAGTCCATTTACTTTTTTCACAGGCTTTTGTAGATGAACATATGCTGTATATATTCATAAATTAAACGGATTCTTTCATTTTTCTGGACTGGATAATATCGTGCATTGAATTATTAAAAATGTAACATGAGACGTTAATTATCTTTGACCCATCAAAATGAACGTGGTCATTTATTTTCAGAATCAAAATTTAACATCACACATTTACATTAATTTGGCAAAATATGAAAATAACAACAGCTTATTAATCAGTTTTACAAGGAGGGAACAATACGGCGATTGTTTCCCTGCTTCACAACAGACATTTCTAAAAATATCTGGATTAATTTGCTAGCAGATAGAAGAGTTTAAAGATGGAAATGAAGTTTAAGTTGAGAGGGATGGGTGAGGGAATTTGTTTGTGTCGGCATCAGAACGGCACTCTCCGGGTTTTTCCCAGCTTCTTCCCCAGTACACTTAAGTGGTATAAATCAACTCTTTTACCTGGAGATGTCTCCCTGGTACGAAGTTCCATTTAACGCACCCTTTCAGCGTCTCCGTAGGAACAGCTGTGAATCGTCCGAAGTAGTGACGGTATTCCGTCCGACACAGGTTCACCTCTTAGTGGACTCACAAGAGGAGTGGAGTCCTTCAGAAGTTCCACTCAGAGGTGGAAGATGTCATAATCCCCACAAGACTCGGAAGAGCTCTGGATCATGCTGGACTTCTGTTCTCCCAAACGACTGGAGCTGCAAACTCTCCAGCCGACTCCAACTGGGTTGAACTAGGAAGTACCGACATTTAAAGAGCTCTATTTCCGGTTCATTTGGGAGTTTCTGATTGGTCGATGGACCAAAACAGAGGTGTGTTTTGTGATGTAAGGTGTTATTAAAAGTCAAGGAAAAAGATTAGATTGTTTAAGAACAGACAGAAGATTGTTATGAAGAACTCAGACTTCGTGGAGTCAATTCTCTAGTATCTTGCTGTAAAAGTTAAACATGACATTTCTTTTTCAGTAAACTTACAGTTGACCAAAACTTGAACTTTGACCAACTTACACAACTTGCTCATTTCAAACAGACGATCAAGAAATTGAATCATTACTCTGTAACATATTCCAACTTGATTTCCACTTTGAATGAGGATTAAAAATCGTTATTACTGTTTCACAGTTGATTTAAAAATGAGTAGTTCACTTCAACATTTAAAAATGGTTTGAACTAACACAATTTGATTATCAAACATTTGTAAAATAGTAATGATAATCGAAAGTAGTGTTCTTTCACTTGATTAATTCAAGAAAGAAAGTCTCAGGATGGGTCAACCTGTATTTCTGGATTCAAATCAATGAAATGACAGTTTCTGTCCCATAAGGTCCTTAAGGTCAGGATTTGACCTCAGGCCTAGTTCACTACACTTTGAACACTTATGCAATGCTGCAGCTAATTTATGGGTTTTTCTTTTTGACGAGCTAACGAGCTTCCTGCCGCTAAAACATTTAGCCTCGTCACACCCGGCGCTCACATAGTCACTCTTGGGGGGTGGGTAGGTCCTCGTGACTCAATGAGACTAACTGTACAGATAAAGATTAAAATAAATAAATAAAATCTGACCAATGAAATTACGAACAGGTCACAGTGGAGCAATGAAATTTTGAATTACCGTAAATCAAACGCACTCACACTAAATTCTTCAGATCAGTTATTTGGCGCTTCATGCAGACCCTCATCATGGAAAACACATGAAGAAATGCAGATGATGCAGCTTTCAAGTTAAAGGCCATCGATGTGGCTGTTGAAGAAGGAAACAGAGCTGCTGCACGTAAGCTTGGCCAACACTGGTCGCACGTGTAGAGCAACATTTGCTCCAGTCTGCCAGTGGATCCTGACGGTGTGGAGCAGTGTAAAAACATCCTCCATCACCAACGGGTTTCAAAATGCCGGACTGCTGCATGATGAAGAGGACGGCTCGAGCTCAAGTGCAAATCTGTCTCGAGATGAAAGTGACGCTGAGAGCAACAACAGAAACAAGAGACTGAGGATGTTTGAGAAGGTTTTCTGACGCTGTTCAACATCGAAGAAGACGACTTCAGTGGTTTTAGTGCACAGGAGAAAGATGAAAATAGGAATCACTAGCTTATGTTAACATTTGGCAAAATTCTTTGATCAGATTGAAATGTAGTCAGATTAAATAATCCAAATGTATCATTTACATGCAGGTTGACATGAACAAAGTGGTAAACTCATCTTAAAAAAAAGACACACAGAAGAAGAAGTTCTACTTCCAGGATGAACATAAACAAACCTGAGCGCCCAAAATGGACCTGGCCAGGTTTTAGTGACGGTGAAGAGGTTACTGCACTCCCTGACTGAGATACAGATAATACAGATCATTTTGAGCTCTTTCAAAGTTTCTAGTAATATAACAACAAAAGGAGAACAACAGACGTAAAAACATTGTCATCCCTTATGTTGCTGGAGTATCAGAGAAATTCAGAAGGATCTTCAACAAACACAAGATCCCAGTACATTTCAAACCCAGCAGGACTCTCAGACAGAGGCTGGTCCACCCTAAGGACAAGACACCCATACACAAACAGAGTGGTGTAGTGTATGCGGTCCAGTGCAGCGAGGACTGTCCAGACCTCTACATTGGAGAAACTAAACAGCCTCTTCACAGACGCATGACTCAACACAGGAGAGCCACCTCCTCTGGACAAAATTCCGCAGTTCACCTCCACCTCACAGATAAGGGACACTCTTTTGAGGACCAAAATGTGCACATTTTGGACCGAGAACACAGATGGTTTGAGAGGGAGGTGAAGGAGGCAATTTATGTAAAAAGAGAAAAGCCGTCTCTTAACAGAGGAGGAGGCCTCAGATTCCCACTTTCAAAAACATATAATGCAACTTTAAAACAGATCCCCAGCCGGTTTTCACACCTGATGGGAACAGAGGGGCCTCGACTGTGAATTAGAGGAACAAAGACCTACTGTTTAGGTTTTTAGGTGTGAACTGCCAATCTACATATATGTGTGTGTGTGTGTGTGTCTGTCTTATGTGTGTGTGTGTGTCTTATCTCACTCAGCCTCATAACCTGTATCTCTCACTCTCTGCTCTTTGAACTGAGAAAGCTCCTCGAATGAGGAGCGAAACGTCTTCTGTTACAAATAAAGTCCAGTTGTTTTTGTATTGAACACTTTTTGAATTAGTAATATAACATAACATAGCTAATGACTTTTTCTGGTAGGCTACTGTATTATGTTTTTTATAACCAGCTGTGTTACAGGCGCTGTTCAGAAAAAACATTTACTGTATGTATTCGTGTTACTGTTACGAATTTAATTAAAAGTAAAAAATAAAAAAAATCTGTGTAAATGATCAGGCAGCACGGTGGCTCAGTTGGTAGAGCTGCTGCCTCTCAGCGAGCAGGTTACCCTGGTGCAAATCCCGGCCGGGGGCCTTTCTGGGTGAAGTTTGCATGTTCTCCCCATGTTGCGTGGGTTTTCTCTGGGTACTCCAGTTTCCTCCCACAGACCAAAAACATGCATGCTAAACTGATTGGTAACTCTAAATTGTCCCCCAAGTGTGAGTGAGAGAGTGAATGGTTGTTTGTCTCGTTTGGGAGATGAGACATTTTACAGACAGGAGGTCCTGGAGCTAGCAACCTGGTGCTCAGAGAAAAATCTGGCTCTGAATATCAAAAAAACCAAGGAGGTGATTATTGATTTCAGGAAGCACAGCATCAACCTAGCCCCCCTTTACATCAACGGCGAGTGCGTGGAGAGGGTTCACACTTTCAGATTTCTTGGTGTCCATATCTCTGCTGACCTAAACTGGAAAGAGAACACCACAGCAGTCATCAAGAAGGCTCAGCAGAGACTACACTTCTTAAGAGTCCTTAAGAAGCACAACTTGAACACAAAACTGCTGCTGACCTTCTACCGCTCGTCCATCGAGAGCCTGCTGACATACTGTATCTCAGTATGGTACGGCAGCTGCACCCTGGCTGACAGGGAGAGGCTTCAGATAGTAGTCAAGACAGCACAAAAGATAATTGGCTGCCCTCTCCCCTCCCTGATGGACATTTACACATCATGCTGCCTCAACAGAGCAAAAAACATAATCATGGACTGTTCACACCCCAGTTTTGAACTGTTTGACTTGTTACCTTCAGGGAGACGCTACAGGTGCATCAGAACAAGAACAAACAGATTCAAGAACAGTTTTTTCCCGAAAGCCATCACCACACTGAACTCACACATGCACTGATTTAATAATCTAACCTCCCAAACACCTGGACTTCTACTGTGCAATACTACTGACATTTCATACTCTCAGTCACCTTAACTACCTCACTAATATCCATAATGTGCAATACAATTGTGTAATACTTGTATTTTTTACTTTCATTATTATATCTATATTGCGTTACATTTTTTATATTTTTAGTGTGTGTTTAATGTGTGTTTTCTTAAGGCGTGTTTTTGCACTGGAAAAAGGAGTGGCTCTTAATTTCATTGTACTGCGTATAATGACAATAAAGGCATTCTGATTCTGATTGTCTCTATTGTAGCCAGTGATGGACTGGAGACATGTCCATGTGTCCCCCGCCTCTCACACAGTGACTGCTGGATATGGGCACCAGTGACCCGTGACCCAAAAAGGAAGAAGCGGGTAAAAGATAATGGATGGATGGATGTAAATATCTCATGTTAAAACTTGAACGCCCGTGGCTTATACACAAGTTCAAGGATTCCAGGATCCTTGAATCCTTGAAGTGTGGCCTGTATATGTACAAAATTGTTGTTTTGTTTTAGTGGGCGTGGCTTATATTCGGGTTCACTCAATAGTCCAGAAATTACAGTATGGTAATATGTTTCATGTCATGAAGACAGGACAGTCGTTTGTATCTCACCATTTTCAGCAAGGTGTCCACTCCCATTCTGGCTATTCTCTGCTTCACCTCCATAGGAACGTCAGAGCTCAGGTAAAAAGAAATGGACTTGCTTTCCTAAAACAGATCAATAAAACATGTCGGGTCATACGTTAACTTGTTTTAATGTTCAATTAATTAACCACACAATACTTCAGGAGTCGGTTTCACTTTCAGAAACTCACTTTGAAGGTTTCCACTAAAATGTTTCTGGTGACAAACGGTCGTAACGGATTCGGAAACTTGACATGATCTATGTCGTGGAAGTTTTCTCTGAAGCGCTCCATGTTCCTGGCCTCAAAACGGAGATCGATCTGGAAGTAGATTTTCAGCTCATCACTGCAGATTAGTGTATAAAGTGCAACATTTCATACTTTACAACATATTTTGTAAAACATAGCTATGAAACTACAAATATCTCACCTGCTTAATCATGGGCTTCTCAAACTCTTCCACGACTTCACACAAACTAAGCCACTTAAGTCCAGGCAGGCAGTGCAGCAGCCAGCTGCCTGCTTTCATCAGCAGCAGGTCTATCTCCACCTGCCTCCGGACACCTGGATGGACCACCTACAAACACATCTTGTTACAGCGTGCACAACATGGAGGTCGGTGAGGTTTGGAAGAGGGACAACCTTGATCGCCACAGGAATGAGCCGCTCCTTCTCTGTGCTGCTGTCCTCAGGCTGACCATCTGGATGATTTGTCTCCTCGCAGCCCTGCTCCTTCCTCCTCCCCATCCAGAGCTGCTGCAGAGCACCTCCAAGACCAGGGATCTCCCACGCTTCCAGCAAGTCTTCTTTCTCCATCTTTTCTACCAGTGAATGGAAGGCCAGGTCCTCCACCTGGTCTACCCTGGCCCAGCCCTGGTACACCTGTGCAATGCACCCTGAACCCACAGGTTCTTTGCTCTGAAACATCAGCACCTGTCTCCAGGTCTCTCCAAAAGCTCTCTGGAGACATTGCTTGGTGTGAGCCCAGGAGTGAGGGCGCACCTTCATGTGGAGCCTGGAGAAGCGTTCACAAAACTCGTGGGAGAAGATGTCCCGCCTGGTGCTGGCCCACTGCCCCAGCTTGATGAAAGTGGGCCCCGAGGTTTCTGTCACCCACAGCAGTGCATCCAGCCAGTAGGATGCACAGCGGGTGGAAACCAAAACCAGAGGGGAAACCAGAAGAAGGGGACCAAACTTAAGGAGCAGGACCAGTGCACGTAGGCTGAGACGGAGGAAAAATATTACTTTGTGGACTTGAACTTTGGCAAGAGACTTTCTGTGAGGGGTGTGGGATGAAGGGGTCGCCTCCTGGCACCTGGCTGCACACGATGATGATGATGCTTGGGCTGCTCCCCAGCACAGCAGCGTCAGTCTGGGACTGCGGTAAAGTGAGCCTTCACTCGGCTCCGGCAGCCCTCACTGGCTTAATTGTGCACGTTTACAACATGTACTACGGTAATAATGCGGCGTTGCTTTTCAAAATAAAAGTTGAAAAAAAAGTTCTTAATATTTGAAAAATACATACTTAAAAGTTGTGTATAACTGAAAAATAAGAAAAAACTATGAATAAAAGTTGTTATTAGCAGAAAAATAAATACATAAAAGCTTAAAAATATGAACAAATAAATAAATAAAAGCTGTTAATTACATCAATGTCTTTCTGCCATGTCAGGAACCACTTTCACTTCAGGTTGACTCTAGAAGACCCCTAGATGTTGCCCAAGAAGTTTGACCAACATCTGATGTTGACTTTTAAAATAAATCACCTCCAAAGTTGAACATAGTTCATTGTAAAACTCTAAAGTTGCTGACTTGATTGCTGGATAACTGAACGATTTCACGAACCACTCTCACTTCAGGTTGACTCTAGAAGACCCCTAGATGTTGCCCTAAAAGTTTGAGCAACATCTGATGTTGACTTTCAAAATAAATCACCTCCAAAGTTGAACATAGTTCATTGTAATAGTCAAAAGTTGCTGACTTGATTGCTGGATAACTGCACGATTTCACAAACTACTCTCACTTCAGGTTGACTCTAGAAGACCCCTAGATGTTTCCCAAGAAATTTGAGCAACATCTGATGTTGACTTTTAAAATAAATCACCTCCAAAG